AAAATATAATATAAATATCATATAATAGAACAAGAGTTAAATTTACATAAAATAAAAATTTATTTTTATGACTAACTTGTAAATGCTGAGATGATGACGTATGTATTCCGATATTATTAGTCTTTTGTTATCTGGCGGAACAGACGAGTATCCCACACATTTAATTGTTTTGTTAGCTATTAATTTGCGAAGACGACTTTCGAAAATTTCAAACTGGGCGCACGTTTGTAAAAATTATTTTATATGAAATCTTATACTTTTAAATATTATTTATTTGTAAGAGATAAAAAGACAGAGTGCGATACACTTTTTAAAATATATTTTAAACTGTTTTGTTTTTTATATAATATCTATTTTATATTTTTATAAGAAACAGAATATTTTTTTCTTATAAAATATTGTCTTCTTTCTTTATAAATTATTAATTTGCAATTTATATAGTTACGTCTTCAAGCATGGTAATTAAGTGATTATTATAACAAAAAGCAGTAAAAAATCAAGAAGTCGCAAGGAGATGATAGGAATGATAGTTGCCGATGCTGATTGGAGTCATGAATATCATGGTATGTACTAATATTATATTTATATATCACCAATGCATCAAAAAAAAAATTAGGAGAAGTATTTGCATTTTTGTAAACAATTTATTTTATAAAAGAGAGAGAAAGATATAGAGAGAGGGAACTATAAGTTATTTAACTATCTCGAGAAAAAAAGTTATTGCACATACATCTTTTAAGTGGCAAACCTTCACTCAAAAAAGTGGTATTGCAACTACAGCAAAAATTTTCTGGGTGCGCAAAATTAACTGAGGTACATAAATGATTAGCAAATACTGTGATATCGCATATGTTTCGCATTTAATCAATCTAAGTGACAGAGACAGAATTTATATCTGAACTGTTTGTGAAATTTAGAAAGAATGTTTTTCTGTGGCGCCTATCCATGATAGGGCCAATCATACTTGTTATAAAGTTTGGCTGTGGTAGACAGAAAAAATTAGCGGCAAGAAACAAATGAATATATAATCCTCACGTCTAACATATTTGTATAACGCGCTCAATCTATCTAGCTCTTTTAAACAATTTTTCTCAATTTTTCGATGCTGCAGTTATAATTGGCAGTTATATTTCTCACAAAGATCGTTCTGTAGTATCGAAACTCATATTTATCCAATGCAGTGATTAACATTTGGCAATGGGACCTAAATTTTCTAGAAGATATTATTAGAATATTGCTGCTATAAATTCTATATGTAACAGACAATATTCTAACAGATACAAAAAATAGCGATAAATTTTTGTTGTGACACCTAGAAATCTACCTATATCAGCAAGACATTTTTTTGAGTGTTTAATACAATATTAAGTAAAATTGAGAGTCATAGAGATAACAATTACATTTACCTGATAAACTTGTCAAATTTCGTTTGTATCGTTACTTCATCCTTGTCTCGCGGTTTACACGGTTCGTTCATCAACACTTGTATTAAATCGATAATTGCACTTCGACGTATTATGACGATAGTCGCTTTACAACAAACAGCGATCATACTCACGAACAATAAAGAATTGGCAACGAAATCATCGATATTATTAACAACAAGAACGATGTCCATGAATTGGGTTAATGTTAAAAAGTATTCCAAGACTAGTACAATAAAAGTAAATGCATTATATAACAGTTTAGCGCCAGTCGACGACCATTCGATAGGCTGCCATATACCACCAATAGTATACATTAAAAAATTTAGAGAAAGTATTTGCATCTTTATAATATTATAAATAACACTTATCTCATAAAATTGAGATTTAACTGTAACTTATTAAATTTTAATGCAACGTATGACATGTGTAAATGCAAATGATATGAGAAAAGTATGAATATTAGTCACGCACTTTTTCCCTTTGCACAGAATAGTGGCACAAACGTGATTTATTTCGCTATCGGAAAGATGATTAAACTACAACTATGTGTAGTCGAGCATGTCTTGCGGGAGACTATGTATGATTCTACCTGCTTGCTTCGATTTTTAGACTTTAATACCGTCAATTAAAGTAATTAGTAACCCGGCATAAAGTCGTTTATTACGGTGTGTCTTGTTTTCCGCTTATATGAATACTGCAGTCACAGTCGCTTTATTTCGCAAGGGTCGGGGTTGCCGTTCTTTGCAATCAAACATATTGTCATATTCTCATCGAATGAAATATTTGTACATTTTCTTGTTGTCGGCAGTAAGCGAGTGGGAAACTATATTTCTGCACAGGCTTGACTTAATTACGTAAAAGTACAAAACGACGAGAGGGATAAAATGTACACATATATCGTACATTTAAATATTTTCCAAATTAAACGCTTATGCATCTACTTGCTAAGTATGATGAGGGTACTGGAAGATTATGTAGCAACTCTAGTATATTTTCACAGAGTATATCGCAGATATATGTACTATTGTAAAAGTGATATTTTTCTTTTTTAGATAATGTTCAAATCAAAATTATTATTTATACATATATCAGATAAAAACTATTACATTGTTTTGTTACGTATTTACACTCAATATATGTATATGTGTGTATGGATGTAAATGTACACATGTCATAAATGTCTGTAGATATTTGCATCTTGCAATCCTGCGGTATTTTTTATATACGATATCGGTTTTGTATATTTGCTTTTTGCCCGACTGTGTATATGTGTTCCTATTCTCAAGGATAAATTTTGGCAGTCATTATCAGCATTTTAATATGTATATTTATGTACGAATGCTATATATTCTGCAGATTTTTCATTTTTTTTTTTGAATGTGCTTAATCTGTTACGATATTATAATATCACCAAATAGATTTTATGATTGTTTGATAGATAGCTTTATTTATGATAATTAATATTGGCAATCTATTAGTGAAAAAAAACAAACGAATATAGTAATTATAAATAATAACGACACTAATATTTTTATAATTCAAATAGGGATTTGGGTTGAGATAATTATGCAGATAGAAATTTTACAGATTTACAGTCTGCTAATTTATCAAAAACTACAATAATATTTTCATGTTTGTACACTCTCGATTAATTATATCTCATTTTTGTAATACATTAAATGCCGAGTATGATATTTTCAAAATCTGGAAGAGAAATTAGAGAAAGGATTACTTTAGAAGACTATGCACTTGTCAAAAATTCCGATTGCGTTCTTATAGATTTAGGCATTATCAACTATCTTTAGTGATATCTTAGACATTTTTATAATATATCAAGTCATATTACTTTGTTATATACATATACAATAATAATACTTACACCGCTATAAGATTGGAGAGATAAAGTTATCAAGAAACTACTGGTAAACTTTATAGGAAGTGTGCTACGCATCATGATCATCAACAGCTCCTTTCTTTCGCTTACTGATAACAAGGCCCAATCCATTTTATATATCGCATCTCCGACGCTAACACTCTGCCATAAAAATACAATAGAAATAGAATAATTATTTTATAATAATATTAAATTACTTTCTTTTTACAGCTTTATATATACATATATAAACATTTATACTTTACATACATTTTTATATATATATATACGTTATTTCACATAATGTATAAATATGAATGTGGGATATTTCCAATTTTGCGATCGAAGATTATTTCGCAAGCTTAAAACGAATAAAATTATGCAGGTGTTCGTGATTCTGAATCATATTAATTTAAAAAATAAATTACTCAGACTCGTATACCTTGTAAACTAATGTAATTTAAAATCAAGAATATTTTCATAATTTACTTTTTCTCGAACTTGCGAGATAATCTCGATCTCTCTATCAATCAAGTATACGTTTGGATTCTGAAATTCAAATTTACCTTAAGTATGACTTCGTTTCCAGACCAGCAATAAACATAGATTTGTACGAACATACAGATAGTGTAAACTATCAAAGTAGCACTTTCGGATTCCGTCATATGTGCTGACAGATAATATACACTTGTGCATAATACCAGTATGCTGCCAAAGAATTGGACAAAAAGTACTTGATTGAATATAACGTTTACCGTTTTTGCGTATCTATAACGATGTTATATTAATTTTATATTAAGGTAATATGTGGTGGTGGACAATGTTATCGTTACATATATTTTCAAAATTGTTTACAGTTTAAAAATTACGGGAATACATCCCGTCGTATTTTATTTCTTAAGACATAGTAGGCATGATTCTAAATAAGAATTAATATTTAATTTACTTTAAGAATTGGGCAATTTAACATAATAATTTAACAAATTATTTTATAAATGTTACCACAATATTAAAAAACAACAGAAGAATGGTAGATATAGTAATTAACAGATTCGTATATTTCAAAATATAAATGATAGGATTTACAGAAAGCAATGCATAAAAGAATTGATTCTCATATGACTAACTTGTAAATACTGAGGTGATAATTTATGTATTCCGAAATAATTGCCCTTCCTTTATTTGATGAAACAGGTTTCAGATATTTAGCTATTTTGTTAGATATTAATTTGTCAAGACGATTCTCGAAAATTTCAAACTGAGCGCACGTTTGCAAAAACAGTCCAAAGACTAGGGTTTCCGTGCCAACATTAATGATAGTGCAGAAAATCACAGCCATGATTTGCTGAATGGATGTAATTAAGAACATCGGAGATGTATCAATATCGTACGGCACCCATACTCTATAAGGTAAATAACCCTGTGTGACGTTTAGCACTGATCTTATTGTGACGCCCGTAACGGAACACGTCGCCAAAAGCGAATACTTAATTGAACATGACCTGTGAATAAAGAATTGAGATTATATTTTCTAAACTTTTGTACTTTTATAGCAGCTTTAAAATTTATTTGCGTTTTTAATACACATACAAAAATTTATAATTGAAATGACAATATGTAATTTTTCTTCTATAGGGGAACTTAATGTAAGATTTAAAATAATAATTTTATAGCTTTTTTTAAAGAATATTTATTATTATATTAAATAAGAAAATTAATAAATTTTTTGTAGCATTTATATGATTATAGTTGAAGCGTTTTTATAATGATACGTGCTTACCTGATAAACTTATCAAATTTTTTTTGTATTGCCATTTCGTCTGCGTCTCGAGGTTTACACGGTGGCTTCAACAATGTTTGTACCAAGTTGATAATTGCATTTCGACGTATTACAACGATAGTCGCTTTACACGAAACAGCAACAATAGTCAGGAACATTAGAGTATTAGTGGCAAAATCATCGATATTGTTAACAACAAGAAGAATATCCATGAATTGAGTTATCATCATAAAATATAACAAGCCTAGTACAGTAGAGGTAAAGATGCTGTACAACAACTTAGCGACGTTCGATGACCACTCGATAGGTCGCCATACACCGCCGACGGTATACATTGAAAAATTTAGAGAAAATAGTTGCATATTTTTAAGTAGAAATAGCTTATCGGGATATTGCACAAAAATATAACACTTTTACATATATAAAATAACTAGAATAATCATTTATAGCATATGGTCTCTTCTTTTTATTTTCTTAAAAATATTAATTAATTTTTGCGGGTTTTTTCAGGAAAAACTCAATATATATATAGAATAGGATATAATTTTTTATATGATATATTATACGATGATAAAATATTTTATGAGCGGCGCTCGCATTTCACTTTAAGCAGTAAATATGAAAGATTTTATTCATCTAACACATAGATAATATTAGCGTGTGTTGAGAATCAAGTAACCTTTAACCATGATAAAAATATATGCAAATATAACTTAAAAATAGATATTTATATCGCACACTTTTTCCAAATATTGCTTCTCATATTTTAACAGCACAACACAAATGATAGATGCTAAACGGATATGGACTGTTTCAATATCGTAAAGACAATTAAACTTCAACTAAATAAAACGCGCATGTATTGCAAGAGACAATGCATGAATTTACTTTCTTTAACATCAGAACCCTATGCTATATTAACTACTTGTCATTAGCAACTTGATATGAAATATATTATAGCGTATTACAGTTCACATTATTTTCTGTTTATATATAAATATTGTAATGACTGTAATGACAACTGTCTTCTTTATATCGATTAAGTGACGCATTTCTACTTTTGTATCCAAGCATATTGTTGCATTCCCATCGAATAAGATATTTATTTTTTATCGTCGGTTTTTATTTGTCAGTGTAGACTTATATTTTCCAAAAGAAATATAAACATTTATATTTCCTTTATTTCATCGTCTGAAGAAAATATAAAATATAACGAGTATGTATAGTACAATTAGATTTTCTCCAAGTTGTAGAACCATCTACATGTCTCTATTAAATACGACGAGTGCAAGCATTATTAATTCTAGCGTATATCGCGTGCTTCGTATAAGGCTTATAAAAAAAATAGTAAGTATTTTATTCTTAGCGAATTAATCGAACAAAAGTTTTAAATTTATGTATCATTCCTAGGCAAACATGTAATATCTTTTTATAGGCATTTTGCTTGGGTATTTTTAAATTGATTTTAAATGTTTTATATGTGTAAATTATTATAATTGTAACAATTTCTCTCTCTTCTTTTAAAGAAATTTTTATTTTTATGTATTTTGCCTATTTCTTTTAAATATCTTTACACATAGCTTTTTAGGAATAATGTATATTTCGATTAGAGGATAAAAAAACAACATACGTATCTCTTACATTAATTAAGAAATATTGAATCTTGATAAACATTTCTAACTATGTTAGTGATTATTATATCTCACTAGTTATTTTTGTTAATAATTTTAAAAATTATTTTATATATTGTAAAAATTCACAAATCAAATCACAAAATATTCTGGATTATTGATTGAATTAAGATATCTTCCAAATTTAAATATTTTTATATGCCTTTCCTAAAAAATATGCATAAGAAAATATTTGTATTGCATTCAAATTAGATGTTTTGCGAATATTTGCAAAAAACATTTAATTTAATTTACTTTGTACTTATCAATCTGTGTTATGTGAATTCTAGATAATTTGTTCAAAAAATAAAAACTGCTATAACAGCTATAAAAAAAGATATATCGAAATTTGACATTCTAAGATGAGTAATTTATTTATAAGTTATTGCGTACATGATATATTGCGAAAGAATAAATTAAATCTTAAGATTGTTGCAACAGATTAAATGCAGAGTAAGACGCTTTCAGAAGCTGTAAGATAAAATTAAGTTTTAGTAGAAATTAAACATACTCTTTACATTACCAAATATCAAAAAAGCTTGAAATTTTGATACTAACATTGCCATAAGACTCCAGAGACAACGTCACCAAAAAGCTACTGGTAAACTTGATGGATCGTGCGCTACGCTTCATAATCATCAATAGATCCTTTCGTTCGCTAACTGGCATCAATATCCAATCCATTTGATACACAGCTTCGCTCAATCCAGAACTCTGAAAAAATAAAATCACGATTAGAATAATGAAACGGTCATCAGCGGAATAATTTTTTGCGAAAAACTTGCAAAATAGAATTTTGCACAGCAAAATGTGCTATTTTTTGTCTGTCTCTTTTTATAACACAAGACCCTTACTATCTTAAATATAACTACCTTAAGTATAACTTCGTTTCCAGCCCAACAATAAACAAAAATCTGGACAAACATGCAAAGTGCGTAGATAATCAAGGTGGCGACGTCTGAAATTGTCATGTGAGAAGATAAATGGTACAGACTTGAGCACAACACCAATATGCTGGCGAAAAATTGGACAAAGATCACTTGGCTGAATATCTTGTTGATAATTTTGGCAAGCCTACAAATATTTTTATATTATGTTGCAAAAATTATACAATTAAAATATATACGAAAACAAAAAGATATTACAACTAATATTATGTATGCACTACAAAAATCATCTAACATATTTAACACAGAAAGATACGTACGTAAAATAACTTTATCATCTGCTTGACGAACCTGATTATACACAGGTGATGTAAAATATGCTCCGACAATCTGCCTGTTTTATTTGACGCATCATTCAACGAAATTCTGGAAGATTTCTCCTCGCTGGGTTTCGTCATTTTCTCCAGACGATGTTTCAAAATCTCAATTTGTGCGCATATTTGTAAGCAAAATCCCAATACCGTGGTCTCCGTCGCGACGTTTACAATCGTGCCAAAAATTATAGCCACGAGCTCTTGAATTGATGTAAACCAGAATAAAATGGGCAAGGTGCAATCGTACGGTACCCACATTCTATAGGGTAATTGACCCTCTAAAATATTGAGCAACCCTCCTATTATGGTTCCAGTGACAGAAAACGATGCCAGAGATGTGTAACTTATGGAATATGATCTGTATTTCGCAAAAATATATAGTAATCAGCATATAATGGCAATGTACAAGAGCAATATATGTTGTGTGTGTGTGTTTCGAAATTACATAAATTAATGATACTGCTCAGGCAATATAAAGAAAAATATCATCTTTATCATACAATTATCATCACAAATGTATGAACAAAACACATTCATTTAAATTAATTATATTATAATTATTCGATAGTACACTAATACATTTTTTATGAATAATTTAAGAAAATTAACTTACGATTAGAATTTCTCATATATTTGTTAAATTAAATCTTAAATCTCTTTAGTTCAATTTATTTGTGTTGCCTTATTTTATTTAAATGAGTGACCACATGTGTTATTTATCAATTTATATGCTAACAAGATTGTGACGTCAACGATAGTTGCATCAACAGTTAAACATACCCACCTGATCAAACGATCGAACTTCATCTGGATGTCGCTCTCCTTTTCATTGTAAGCTTTGCAAGGTTTCTTCTGTAGTGTTTCGATCAAATTGATTATTTCATCGCGATGTGTTACAACAGCAGTTACTTTGAACAATACACTGACAGCCGAAAGCAGCATTAAGGAATTTGTGGCAAAATCGTCCACGTTATCGATAACAAGGATTATATCCAGCAATTGAGTCAGCGTTAGAGTTGTCAACAGATATATCGTGAGGCAAGTAAGCAAACTATATAGTATCTTGGAACATTTCGAAGACCATTCGATTGGTCGCCACATACCACTAATGGTGTATAAAAAAAAATTGAAAGAGAGTATCTGCATTTTTGTCTACAATACTAAAAGCGATAGATTTGCTTTATTTGCTGAAAAATCTTTTTAAGATATATAATTAAAGAATAAGTAATTATATTTTCATCAAATTTTTTTAGACCTTTATATACTTTTTTAAAAGTATTTTCACAAACCTATGTTTTGCATATATTTTTGTACAATAAAATTTCAAGCCTCAATTTCAACACCACAATTGCAAGCACTTTGTGATTAATATTTATAACCAAAAGAAATCGGATTACATAGCTTCAACAACAATCGTACATATCTATAAAAATGACTAATATATAATAATGCATACGCGACCAAGGTTCGTAAGGCACTACGGTTAAACGTCTTTGTCAAGTTTCGTTGTCCCTACATGACTTAAAATTAATGATTCATTAATGACTGATACGGCTGTCGATACTTCACCGCTGGGTAAGATATCTAAGATATAATTATAAGGGCTGTAGTCGTTTGATGCATTTGAGGGATGTTATATTTCCGGTGAATTCCAACATATTGTCGCGTTCCCAGGAAACGAAATACATTTGCATTTAAGTGTGTATTGCATAATTCTAACGACATTCACAAAGTCTCAGTGCAAAAATATTCTGAATGCTGGATACAGTGTGACATATAATATTGTAACAAAATAAAGTTTTCATCGAATTTGGAATATATATATATTTGCTATATTTTGAAATATTAAACGTAATTTTATTTTGTAATAATATTTTGTAAAAAATAGTGGAACGCGGTAATATGAATCTCACAATTATTTTATAGAGAAGGAAGCTACCGGTTGATTTTCACCGGTGACTTACTTACATTTCAAGAATTTACGTTACTCTATAGCCGTTAATTACGGCCTTAAGTCGCGACGTTTGTAATGACAGCCCTCGTTTTAAGTATAATCATATGTTTCCATAATATTGTAGATCGTGCGAGAGAATATATATCCACTCGTCTCTCGCGACATGTTTATTCCCGCTAATTCTGAAAATTTTATCCGGAATAAGTGAACGGCACGTGTATGCGAGTTCTCTCCACGCCACGTTCATTTATCCAAATTCCGTCATTTAACTTATACACATTCCCGTTGTATTTGATAGTGTGATCCGTTATGAAAGGGATCCCCTCCGAGGGAGCGGAGGAGATGATTATTTTATTTTTTTTTTTTTCATCGTTTCAAGGTAAATCGTCGACCGTGAGCGAAATCCACCTTGGGGAGAACGCACCAAGTTCTCGGACTTCCTCTCTGTCCCCCACCTCTCTCATTTCACTCTACGCTACATCACGCTCGCGCGCCTCGGTGACACCCTTCTGGCTGAATCTTTTTTTTTTTTTTTCATCGTTTCAAGGTAAATCGTCGACCGTGACCGAAATCCACCTTGGGGCGAACGCACCAAGTTCTCGGCCTTCCTCTTTGTCTCCGCCCCTTCCTCTCATCTCTGTCCCCCCCCTCTCTCATTTCACTCTACGCTACATCACGCTCGCGCGCCTCGGTGACACCCTTCTGGCTGAATCTTTTTTTTTTTTTTTCATCGTTTCAAGGTAAATCGTCGACCGTGACCGAAATCCACCTTGGGGCGAACGCACCAAGTTCTCGGCCTTCCTCTTTGTCTCCGCCCCTTCCTCTCATCTCTGTCCCCCCCCTCTCTCATTTCACTCTACGCTACATCACGCTCGCGCGCCTCGGTGACACCCTTCTGGCTGAATCTTTTTTTTTTTTTTTTTCAACGTGTTTCACCTTCCTCCCGCGGGTTCAACGATCCATCCGAAACCATGATCCGTGCCTCGGTCGGCATGAATAGGGAGAGAAGAGGGGTCGGACACCGCTAGTAGGACACCGTCCTCAATAACTCGTCGAAAGTACGTGGTGATGGTAGTGGTGAACGTCGGTGATCTTACGAATGCTCTATCGACCTGTATACCATCGCTGTATTGGTGTCTCAGATGGACGCGGACAGGCTCATTATATTCGAAAATATATAGCGCCCGGAGCTGACGCGAATTCCCCCCCCCTCCCCCACCTGTAACAGCGGGGGCGGAGGATGGGTCCGTGCGCCAAACATCAAGAACGAAAACCTCTTCACCTCAATTAACACCGGTAGCGCTGGTGAACGACAGTAGAGTTGTAGTGGTAACGGTAATAGTAGTAGTGATTCGTAACCGGTAGTCGTGCACGCGAGTTGATACATATACGTATTGTACTTGTCCTCTTTAACATGTAAAGCAACGCTAGTCTTAGTAAAGACAACTCTGTCAGTCTATAAATAATTCGCTTTTTTCGAACAGTAATGAATTGTATATTGTATATAATGGCAATAATTTTTAATTAATATATCTTCTATTGATATTATATATGCCCTATAAACTTGTTTGCGTTATTCGCATAAATATATTAATTTAAAATATAACAACTAATTTAGAATAAATATTTCTAGGTAATGGAATTAAGCGATATCTTTATGGGTCGCTGCTCCGCTAAATTTAGAGACATTTATTTATTAACGTAAAAAAGAAAAATATCATTTCTATTGAACTTATTCGTAATTGTTGAAAGTTTCCCTTTTTATGAACTCCGAGCGTTTCGGGCTTTATCTCGTCGCATAGCGGTACGAAACTTCCTGTGTTACGTTTACGCAAAAGATCTCCAGAGATATCGCTTATTAATGTGTGTGCGTGTGCATATACGCTAAATGCGTGCATGAAATATAACAATTCGCGGCGATACGCCCGACGGGTTGCTCATTGTGCGCCCGTTGACGTTGTGGTAGAATCATTGTGCCAGTGGTTGGTCTACAACGGAGAGAGAGCAGACAGCGGTGCAGATACCGGTGACGGAGGAAGTGGGCTTCATTAGTAACGGTGGTGGCGTCGGCGGTGGTGGTGGTGATGGAGGTGGTGGTGCTGGTTTGCTGGTGCTGGTCTACCGGTATACTGGTGGTGGTATAGTGAGTGCACGGCATATTTCGCTTCTCTTTGTAAGAGTTCGCAGTATCTCGCCGCTACTCTCACGCAGGCGAGAGAGGCGGCTTAACACCTTCCTCCTACGTTCGGACGCAAACTGTCAAACGTCCGCGCGCGGACCTCATTCTCGTTCACTGCCGGCGCATTCCTCTTCTTTCGTGATTTCCTCTTCTCTTCCTTTTTCATCTTCTTTTTTTAATCCTCTTCCGACTTCCGCAAATGCCGTCCATCGATTTGTCTGCCAATGTGATCGCGTACGACGAAAAGTGCGTGTCCTCTTCATCGGCGCCGGCTACCACATAAACAGCCAGGAGAGAAAAAAGAAAATCAAGATCGTCGTGAAAAATTTGTTGTGCGAATCGTCATTTTCACTGCTCTAGGTCACTCTCACGGATAAATTTCTGCGCGAACGAACGTACGAACACGGAAGAGCAGATCGACCCTCGCGCGTAAAAGATTGCTCCAAAGTTAGTGCGATCGTGTTCAGCGATTTTTTCAAACGTTTATCACTAATACTGGATACTATCAGGTAATGCAAATTTTTCTAATAAAGTTTTAAAATAAAGATAATATATTTGTTAATATTTTGGAAAAAAATTGCATGCAACACAATGCAAGAGATGTTAATTTAATATTCTAAATAGTAATATATCAATCTTTTTAACAATGAAAAGTTTTCAGTGAAAATAATACATTATTCAATTTTAGAGTGATATAATATATGTAGGAGAACATTTTCTCCCCCTTATATTGAATTAGAAAGCAAAAGAAAGATAATTATATACTTAATTACATTTCTTATATATTTCACATAAGTCTATATTACGACGATATTTGCAGAATGTATCGCGTGCTACTTTTTCTCATCTCCATCTATGGAAGCATTCGCGGAATGCAATTCCCCAACAAAGGGGATTTACCTCGTCAATATCATCCGCGTTACTTAATGTACGAGGAGCCATACAATATCGAGTTCAAGTATCACAATTACGAGCAGATGAGCCGCTTTCTTCGCGCGACGTCCCTTCGGTTTCAAAATCTCACCGCTCTGTACTCGATAGGAAAGTCGGTGAAAGGTACGGATTCTCTTATATGTGTAAAAGAATGCGATGTGAATACATCATATGTTCAGAGATAAAGCACTTATAAATAGGCATCGTATCGATTTCGATAAAAAGAGAACGTCCTGGAAAAAATATTTCAAAACTTATAAATGTTTTATGTAACTTTTTATGTTTAAAGTTAAAAAAAAAAAAAAAAAAAAAAAAAAAAAAAAAATAAAAATCACAACAAAACCAAAAATATAAAATTTATTTCTTG